GAACTAACCGAAACCAAATGAGGATCTAATTTTTGGATATTTTCCGGTTTCTAATTTTCCTATCCGAACTAACTGAGCTGGAAAATATTCTAACTGATCCTGAACCAAAAATAAGCCAAATAATAAATGAATCCTCTAGTCCCTTATTTGAATTACCCGATATCAGAAATATCTGAACCAAATTAAACTGATATCCGAAATACCTAGACCTAACTGTTTTACAAAATTTATTCACTATATCAAAGAGGTAATTTAATAAAATAATCAACATAAATTAGAACAGAAGGTGATCTCTTAACTCTTTTAGAATATAACAACCAAAAAAACGAAGTTTTTTAGAAAATGGTTTATAGATCTATGCAATCTATATTATTAAAACTATAGTATCTCTCGGTGATGTTTGGAAACATAGATAACATTATAAATGATAACTGTTTGGAAACATGAATATTAGTGTATTTTTAGTACTTCATTTTATTTACATATTTTAGCCATTACATTTACAATAAATTAAATATTTATTTTTTGTATTTCTTTGTATTTACAAATTCAGCCATTACATTTAAAATCAATTTAAATTAATTATTTAACTACAATTCTAGAGCTGATAGTGTTATTGATAATATAGGAATATCAATTACAATATATATATATATATAACACAATTTTTAAATATAGTATTACCTTATTTAATTTAGTCAAAAAAGTTTGTGAGAGTCCAATTTTCAAAAAACAAATATCATAAATATAATAATAATTCATAGAAACAAATGTAAAAATTAACAAGTTTAGTACTTTGTTTCATTTTAAAATAAATTAACAAAAAATAACATGTTAATATGTAAAAAAGATAAAATTAGATTAAGTTATAAAGTTCTTGATATAATATTATGTACAAATAAAAAATTATTATCAAACATCTATATTATAAAATAATAAACTCCATACTATATGTAAATTACAAAAGATAAATATATATATATATATATATATATATATATATATATATATATATATATATATATGAAATTATTTTTATAAAATCAGCGGTTTATGAATTTACGTTGAACACAAATTAAATCAAACATCCGCATGGTGGTACGGTTTAGTTAGAAATTAAAAGTTATATCTACGGCAAAAAAATCTACAGAAACACAGAGATATTTTGGAAGTTATCTTTTAGTTTTGCTATTACGTTTAATTCCGTAGAGAAATTTTGCTATCTTTCTTGACTTGAATCATTGTTATTAGCTTCCGAGGATTGGTTCTACAATTTTGGCATGTTCAGTGTTGTAGTACACTCTGAATGATTTTTATAATTGTTTCAAATTCGGAATTTAGAATAAATAATAGTTCAGCTTGGTTCTTAGTTCCTAGAATTACTATTTTCCTTGTTTACAATTTTTCTTTTCTAAAAATACTTTGTAAGTTAATAAAATTGGAAAATCTTATTCACATTTTAACCTTATGTACGCATGCAATTGCACATAGATATATTATACTTACACAAATCTACTCTATTAAAATAGAGTCTTTTTTTTGTCTACCGATACAAGTTGTCATTTAAATTTAGACTATTTCTAGAGGATTACAAAAAATACAAGTTATTTAATTAATTGAAACGCATTATTTAAATTAATCTGGTGGTTATTTATGGGATATCTTAGGTTTATTTTTGTATTTAAAACAAATTACATGGTTTGGTTTTTGGGCTTAGTATTAAGTAAAAACTCCAAAAAATATTGAATAATTTTTCCACCTTAATAGATCAAAAAATCAAATATTATTTTCAGGCCCAAAAGGTATTTAGTATTTTAAAAAAAACAAAATTTTCTATTATTAATCATTTATTTAAATCATGTACTTTAAAACATGTTAATGTATTTTTATTTTAAATAACAATCACTTTGTTTTGATAATTTTCAAAGGTAATTTTTAAATGATTTATTGTTTTATTTTTTCTTAAATAATTTACTGATTTAAAAAAAATGTAAAGCAAAACCAAAAACCAAATCTAAAAACTAAAATCCAAAACCAAAAGCTGAAAAGACAGGTTATATTTTTGTTTTTTATTTACAAAATAAACTATTGAAATTTTTTTAAAATTTTTTGGTCATCTTTTCAGTTTTAAATTAAATGTTCGGTTATTTAGGATTTGTTTGTTGGTAATATCGGTTCAAAGTAATTCAGCGGATCTAAAAATTAAAAACCCAAACCAAAAGCTGAAAATCAAAAATAGAAATTTAAAAACTAAAAACCAAAAACCAAAATCTAAAACTAAATCTAAAACTAAAGCTAAAAATAAAAACTGAAACTAAAAACTAATGAAAAACAATCATCAACACAAATTTTGGTGAACTGATTTTATACCAAAAATTTTAAATTAAGACAAAATCCAATTATATAAATTTTTAATCATAAAAAATTTCCGCGCTTGAAAATCACGGATCAAAATCTAGTTAATAACTTAATTCAACACGTATATTATACTATTCTTTACAAATATGTTAATTTTATTGTATATGTCGACATATTTGATGTTTTACATCAGGGTTACATGTCAAACATTTATTGTCATCTCCTTGCAACTTTGCAAATAAAAAGCATGTACCCAAATCAAATCCTTGTTAAATTGAGCAGTCATATTTTTTCGTACTGCATGTTACATGTCCGCATTATTTGGACAACAGGTTTCTGGACAAACATATAATTGACATGGTAATTCTCTACTTTTGAGTTAGTTCTAAAATATGAAACAGGTTACTATTAATATGGTATCCGCGCTTATAGTTATATTTATGTAACATAAACATGTACAAATCATTCCACATTTTCATATTCGAAATGTTAGGTATAAACTCTATCTATTGGACCCTATTCCATCCATATTTTCATAGCGCCTATTAAATGTTATCGTTAGAGTAAGTAGTTAGAAAATGAGGATGATTGGAAGGATTGTATATGTAGAAATATTACTATATAATAATTTAGGCTGTAGATTTTTATTTATATATTTATCTGTATTTGATGTAACTGTAAAAATTAATTGAGAAAGACAAAAATATATTCCTACAACAACTGTTTTTTTTTTCTTCAGCTTAATAAATACTCCCTCTGTTTTATATTAAGTGTCGTTGTAGAGAATTTTTTGCGTTACAAAATAAGTGTCGTTTTCGGTTTTCAATACAAAATATATTAATTTTATTATGTAATTATTTTTCTATTGGTTAAAATATGGTTAGGTGTATTGGTAACTGTGTTTTTATATAGGAAATATGTAAAATTAATTGTTTTCTTAATCCGTGTGCACAGCTGTTGAGTGACACTTATAATGAAACAGAGGGAGTAATACTTTAGAAAATAAAGCTCATATGACATTTTCTTTATTTTTATGCTAAGTTTAAAAACTAAATAAAAGAGTTGTTCATAGAAATTAAATTTCAATTATCTATATATTAATTGAGAAGCATTACAATATGTTTTGGTAGCTACGTGTCATTATGAGAATGTTTTTCAAATTTACTAGAGAAAAATGTTGGTCCATATAAACATATAATATACTTTTTATTAAACTAAGCATAAAACTGTTATTAATGCTAATCATTATTTCCTTAAATAAAATTTAGGGAATTATCTAATATTGTTATAATATATATGACAATTAATGATTAGAATATGAAAAATTTGACAAAAAAATATATAGCATCTACTCTTTTTGTTAAATTTATATTGTCAAAAGAAATTAAAAAAATAACATTAACTATATAATAAAAAATAGATAATTTATAGATGCTATATTTTGTATTTTAAAAAACGACTATAAATTAAAAAAATTAAAATTTCACATAAAATATTTTTTATTAATAGTTTAATTTTTTTTGTTATAACACGATACAAACAATTATATAATTAATGAGTAAGACATATCATTTATTAGATATTTAAGTTAGATATATATATATATATATATATATTAGTGATGTTTAAACTAAAATAAATACCATTTAAAAATATATAAATAGTTAATTTCAAAATTCCATTGAACAAGTATTGAGAACTTAATACTTTAATGACAAACTTTTAATTTAATTTTTTAAACGATGATAAATTACTGTAAATATTAATATTTTAAAAAATTTATTATAAAAATATACAAATGATCATAAAATCACGTAAGTGTGAAGCTTCATTTATTAGATATCCAAATTAAAAGTATAATATATATATATATATATACGTTAATATCATTTATTAGTTAGATTTACTAATATAAAGTGATTGTAAATAAATAAATATTATTATTTTATTTTAGTGCTCTCTAAATTAATTGTATATAAAAATTTTATTATAAAAATATACAAATGATCATAAAATCACGTAAGTGTGAAACTTCATTTATTAGATATCCAAATTAAAAGTATAATATATATATATATATACACGTTAATATCATTTATTAGTTAGATTTACTTATATAAAGTGATTGTAAAAAAATAAATATTATTATTTTATTTTAGTGCTCTCTTTTAATTATTCAGTATATATTTTTTTATTTTATAATATATAAAAAACAAAATGAAGAATAAAACATAAAATAATTTATATATATAATTCTCATCTACGCAGATACAAAGTATTAACCTAGTACATTTGATATAACCCAACCAATCACTTCCAATATAAAAGTTATGATGTGAATAAGTTATACATGATATTTTTGGTATTATAACCATGCAACGTTCTTTTTAATACTCATTTTTCCATCTATCATAAAAAAAAATATCAAACTATGTGAAGAAAGTGTACATGAATATATCAAAAATAGTATTAAAAATATAGCACATTAGCTCCGTAGGATTAGGTTTTTGCTCCTTATGAATAGCTTACAAACATATAAGTAAAACGTACAAAAGAGAGAAGAACAAAACAAAAAAAACTGATAAAAAAGAGAATCCAAGCGCTTTTTTTGCTCAACGTCGCAATCACGCAAAGTGAACGACTCATTTGCTTTGCTCTATCTTGGCCTTCCTCTTCTCGTTGACGAAGAAGACGAGCAGAGCCAGGACAGCGAAGACGCTGAAGCAGATGGAGGCAATATCAAGGGACTTGTGGCGACCACTGATAGCCTGAACGCTGAATAGATTGGTTGTCTTGGCCTCCTTCGTGCTTTGTCCATAGGCAACTTCATGGTCTTTGGCATCAACTGCGTAGGCACGAACGAAGTAGGTCCCGGTTGGGATGTCGCGTTCGAGGGTATATTTGAATGATTGAGAGGATTTATTATAGGCCTTGGTGATGATCTTGTGTGGGCAGGTCTTGTCCTTGAAGAGTTCATTTTCAGTCTTGCGCCATGGTCGGTCAACTTGGCTGACCGGTGCGTAGCATAGCTTTACTTTGATGGTCTTAAAACTAGCCTGCGTTTTAGCTGTCGAGCTTAGCTTCCATGTAATGCTCAACTTGTCGATTCCGGCATCCAAAACTAAAAGACCATAAATTAAATATTAACCAGCCTTGATGTTAGTAACGTTGTGTCTTTTATTTTTAAGTAGTTATTCGAATCCTGATCGCCCAACATAAAATCTAGAAGTAAAATCGTAAATTTGAACACCTAAATGAAGTAGCCAGTGATGGATGTTCATAAAGATATATACATACCGCCTTGTCGGCTGGGTTTAGCGGTGACGTCAAGTGCACCTTTCTCCAGGTCAGAGAAGAGCCTTTCTTTGGTAGCACCATGACTAAACTGGATAAGTAAGCAGATTTGAAATGAAGCCAAGATGATCTTGTGTATAGCCATAAAGATCCTTGAATTTGAATGTCTAGAAATCAAGGCTTGTGAGGAGAAGAGAAATATGCCTTTATTTTGCTGACTTTTATGCCAAATAAGAAAGTTGGGGGTGCACATTTTTGTCTTTATATAGTGATTTATGGTAATCCTTGGATCAAATATCTTGGGTTTTAGCATAAACAATTAATGAAAAAGTCACGCTTTGGTCAGAGATTACCCTGTGAAGACTTGGGAAGATTGTGTTCCTCTCGGCACGAGAGTGTCTGTGTTGTCTCCATCCACGGCTGTGATGTGGGACATGTGGCCCTTAAACATGCCAAATTATGAGATATAAGTTTTTATTTCACTATATATCATCTGAATTTTTCAGTTTTAGACTCCAAACAGTTTTATGTTTTATTACATCTTCTACCAATATTCTCTTTTTGGTGTTGCTGAACAAGATACTCTTTATATTCTTATTATATAGGTCTATATGAATTCTCTAAATATACACTTTTCCTAAATTCAAATTAATCCATCTAAAATAAATAAAAGTCGACAAAAAATTGAAAATAGATAGATAAAAAAGGGACAAGACCTTAAAAAGAAAGGAAAAGAATTCCGGATAAAAGATCGGAGTTAATCATGACTGTTAGAAAATATTTAATTCCTTTGTATAGAACTACAAACGTTTGATCCCTTTTGGAAGGGTGCATAAGCAATATTTTACAGTGTTCAGCTATAATCAATAAAACATATTTTTAATGTATACGTCGATCTTTCCAACTTCAGTACATGAGACTCTCTTAAACCCACTATCAAACTTTTGCTAATTATATGTTCGTCATTCAGATTCTGCTTGTACCATAATATAAGACACTCTAATAACAAGTGAAATACATGTGAACGAAACAGAGCGGTTTTAGAACTATAAAGGTTAGAAGCAAGGGCGAGTCTAGGATATTTTCTGAATGGGTGCACTCAGGACTAGCTTATCCAGTTAATGGGCCTTGTGTTCAGAAGAAAATTTCTCAAAACTATTGTTATATTTTTATAAATTGAAAATTAGTGTCCAAGTTATGTATGTTTTTGATAAATCAAGATCTTAATTCTTTAAAAAAATTTCTAAAAAAATTAAGGATCTAATGTAAAAGCACTCTCAGCACATGTGTAAAACCGGTACTGGGTGCACTACTGCTAAACATACAACTAAGATATAATCATATAACTAAGCATGGAACTTGAATTACTAGGGGGTGCAAAGTTTGACTTTTGCCAACTTATACACCAAGGTTTAAATAATTTTGTATAAAAATTTGTGATTAGTAATATTATTATTGGTGCACATGCCCCCACATTTATCAACCTGCATTTGCCTTTGGTTAGAAGCCCAAAACAAAAACAAAAAATGGCAGGCAAAAAAGGCTAGACATAAAGCTCGGTAAGGTGTCCATGAATGGCTATTTAACCACTACACTATGATTAAGAAAGTTGTGGTCGATTATTTAAGTATAAAAATGACTACTGAAAGACCAAGATTTTTTTTGCTTTGGACCAGAGCTGGATCTGCAACGAAATAGAGTGTTATCAAAAAGTATTACATGATATCTTTTATATCACAGGCAAAAACGTGACCTTCGTAAGAATGAAATTATAATTTACCTCCAATTGAAGTTATTTACTTAACTGAAAATATATAATGGTCACTTCACCAAAATATTTTGGTCGGTAACTTATTTTGTGAGCATTTTCTGGTAAATTGTTTTTGACTATTAATCTCTGAAATGATTATAACAATTTATAAGATTAATAGGCACAATGTACCCATCTATATAAATAAATGAAGAGAAAGGTGTTCTACCTACTGATTGAAATGAAATTTATTGGAAATATAAAATCTGAAACCAAATCATATAAAAAAAAACTAATCATATCATGTTTATGGAGTGACGTCATGAATTTTATATAACCAATGGGCCACATTATAAAATAACGTTACATTTATGAAGATGTACGTACACTTGAGTTTCTATTCCATGATAGAAGGTGAGTTTCTATTACATGACAGAAGGTCTCCATGTTGACAAACGGAAAAAAAAAAAAGAGAAGAAGATAACATCTCCACATAAAAAAAGAAAAGAAAATAGCGTTAAAGTTACTAAAGACTCCAAAATCCCTAGTTACTGAAATATGAAACATAATTAAGGACTAAAGCAAAACTAAAGAGTACTCAATTATATCATTTCTTTATAGCTAAGCCTCCTAGTTCCTCATGTAAATCGTCAAACTTTTGTTTTCTTTCTAGAACAACACTTCTTGACCCTCTAGTGACACGTTGTTTGTGATCATGTCGTGGGTTTGCTCATCAAAGAGCCATTTCTCTAACAAAGAAAGAGATCCTTGTGTAATTAGACCATTAATGTCATGGTCTATTAGCTTGGGCTTATCTTCAGCTTCATCCATGGAGTTGAAGCTAAATAAAGACTGGTCAAAACCTTCTCCACCTCCTTCAGTCGTGCTAGGGCTAGAAGCCGCTGTGGTGATAGCCCTCTCGGTGGCTCTAACTGGTGAGGGCAACAATGTCTTTGGCGTGTCTTTCATGAAGTTCTGAAGCAAACGAGCGATGTTCTCAGCGCTTGAAGCGTAGACACCACATGGGTATGGTTTAATGCTGCTTGGTGTGGTGGTGGTGGTGGTAGACGAAGAGGAAGATGATGGACCATAGCCAAGGTCGTTAATAGAGGCATGAATAGTGTTTTGTGGTTTGTCAAGTGACAAGGCATCAGATAGAGCTTGTTTAGCCATGTTGATATCTGTCTGAAGTCGTCTCTCCCATTGACCTTTGTTTGAGTCCCTGCTTTGGTGCGAAGTACTGCTTTTGCTTGAAGAAGACAAGTCTTTATTATCAACTCCGCTGTTGATAATACTATCACAAGAATCATTCATCTTCTTGAGCCTTTTCTTCAAATGTGTGTTCCAGTAGTTCTTTATATCATTGTCTGTCCTTTCTGGAAGGTATGATGCTATCGCTGCCCACCTTCAAAATTATTGGTCCCCGAGTTATTATAAAAGTTCAAAATCTTATCTTAATACAGATCAAAAAGGAAATAAAAACAAGATTTGCATTCTTTGTGAGATCATGTGCATGTGAACACACGTACCTGTTGCCCAAAAGAGCTTGAAGATGAAGAATCATCTTCTCCTCGTGTTGGGTGAAATTTCCACGCTTAATCCCAGGTCTAAGATAATTAGTCCACCTCAATCTACAGCTTTTGCTACATCTCCTAAGACCTAAATCACCACAAAAAACAAAAACTTTCATTAATTAAAAGAGTAATTAATTTGATACGTGTGGACAAAAAAACCGGTGTGATAAATCAGGCATTTATTACTATTTTTCTTTCTCTTTAATGATCATACCAACCAAATTCAAGCCAAACAAAAGAATCAAAACCCCAAGAAAAAACAAAAAAACATTAGAGAGCACTTCTTAAGAGTAGTGATTACAAGATTGACACCATAATATTATTTTTATCAAAATGATAGGATTTTAATTAAGAAGAAGAGACCTGTGTGAGTAGGCACAGATCTCCAGTTTCCAGGACCATGTTCTTGAATGTAAGAAACCAATATGATATCTTCTTCTGGTGTCCATGGGCCTTTCTTCACTCCAATCTTGTCACAGCATGGTGGTCTTCCCATATCTCCCACTCTCCGATATGTGTAACTATCACTCTGTGTTTAGGGGAAGAATGGAACAAGAAGGTTTTGATGATGATCGGATGGATATATAGAAGAAAGTGTTAAAACCTTTGAAATTTTTTTTTGGCTTGAAAGCTTAGGAAATTATGACAGAGGGGTACGAGTGGTAGTTAGTTTTGTCTGAATATGTGGGGAGAGAGCTTGCGTATATTTATAGAGACTAGAGAGTAGAGCAAAGCTGAAGAGTAAGTTAGTAGCAATAATAATAGAGTTAAAAGTAACAAAAAAAAAACAAGAGTGGGGTTTCGCTTTCAAAGAGTCAAGATGGACAGCAAAATGCATTTACTCTCTTGCTCTCCAAAGTCAGCCCTCTCTTCTCTCCCACCATTACTCCTTGCTTTCTTTCTCTTTCTCTCTCTCTAATTAGCCTTCATTTTTCTCTCTAATTTAGTCTTTTAGTATTATTTCTGAGTAACCCTACCCTCAATTTGTCTTTAATTATATCAAATCATATGGCATGTATATTTTTAGATGTGCAATCTGATTGGCTTTAAATTTTAAAGACTTTGTTCGCATTAATTAGAGTGAACGAATGTAATTTATATATATTGATAGTAATTCCTGGTTTAACATTCGCAAAAACATACTTAAATTAAAAATTTTAAAAGGATTCGTATAGTGTGAATTTCATATTGTGTTTCACATGCATGCATTATGTATATGTGGGATGTTCAAATAATATTATTCCTAAGTGACGCGTGTCATTTACCTTGTATAAGTTTTTTTTTTTTTGAAAAAGGGTATAAACCATGTATAAGTTATGCAGTGATCAAATATGGTTTTCGTATAGATCTATTTTATGATCTTTAACCGAAGAAAGAATATATTCGGTTTCAAAAGATAAATGTTTATAAAATAGATAAATTTGGTGTAACTTTATAAGGTAAAAATGATAAACAGTAATCTTTTTTTAAAAGTGATTGAATTACTATTAGTTTGATTTTATTTAATACTAGATATTTTACCTGCACATGTATGCATAACTTTCTTACAAATATTTAGTAATGTATATTTTTAATTCAAAAACTAGTATAATAAGTTATTATCTATTTTACAAAAGTTTAAATCAAACGTCAAAGTAATTATAAATGATAACACTCACATATTATAAATATTATAGGAAATATATATATACAAATATTTTTGCTTAATTTATAATTAATTATAATTATTCATAAAAGTATCTTATTTCCTAAAAATATAATATTATTAATAAAAATTTCTTTTAATTATATACTAAATTATATATAAAATTATTAAAAATATGAAAATAGTTAAAATTAATTAAAATCATGGAGAAATTGAAAAATTAACAAATTTTCTTAAATTTTATAATAGAAAATAGATTTTCAAGATAACAATAGAATACAGTAGAATTATCTTTTTTTGCTAAAAATATAATATTATTAGTATTATTTCCTTAATTTTTAATTTTACAATAGCAAATATATTTTCATGATAACAACTTAATACACAAGAATAATCTTCTTTTCTAAAATATAATATTATTAATATAACTTAATTTTAGTTATACAAATAAATTATATAAAAATTATTTAAAACAGAATAAATAAGTAAAATTACCTAAAATCATGCAAGTTGACAAATCAGAAATTCTAAAATTTTAGAATAGAAAATTATATTTTCAAAATAATTATATGATACATAATAATTATCTTATTTTATAAAAATATAATAGTATTAATATAATTCATTTTAATTATAAAATAAGTTATATATAAAATTATTAAAAACTTGAAAATAAGAAAACTACCAAAAATCATGGAGACTTGACAAATGAGAAATTTTAATCTCAGGTAATAGATAAATTTTAAATTCGTTTTCTTAATATATTAAATTATATAAAAATATTAAAACATGATAAATAAGTAAAATTACCTAAATGCATATAGAAAATTGGCAACTAAACAAATTTACTTCTCAAATAATAGTATAACTAGATTTTGACCCGCCCTTTCCAAGGGCGGGTTTTGTTTTTAATTGTTTTTATTGTTTTTATAAAATATCTAACCACATTTGTAAACTGAGAGTATATGTTTGGATATATTTATTCGAAACCGCAAACTGAACGTACCAAATTAAAAACTCAAAACTAAATTGAATTTCACAAATAATAGAGTATTTTTAGATTCTCTTGTCGTATATAACTCAGATTGACATATGTTCTTCAAGTACCATTCTATCAGAGGTTCTGCCAGTTGATATGTTTTAAACATGTTAGTCGTATATACCCCACAGGTCAACTACTTTTTTTTTTACTTACAATTTTGACCCGTTCAACCCGCGGTTCAAAATTCACCATACTACATCCTCCCCGCTTAATTTTGCGGGTAACATGCGAGTTCCCCAGATAATATTTTATCTATAAAAACATTTTTATTAATTTTTTTAAAAATAATATATGTTCAATAAAATTTAATATTATTTTTAATTTTTTTATTATTTTAAAAGAAAATCCTGATCAATTAAAATGGTTTTTTTTTAAAATGACCTTATTTTAAAATTTTCTGAAATATATATTATTGCTATTTTTGAACAAAACGTAGGTTAGTTAAGGGAAGATACTATTGGTATTTGTTAACAAAATTATAGGAGAGATTTGTTAACAATATCGTAGGTCATCGTGACGATTTGCGCCTATCGAAATTATAGTATACCTTAGCCCATCCGAAAATCTGTTAATATTTGATAGATATACTTGTTACCAAACAGCTATTAAAAATAGATGGTAAACCTGTTACCAAACACTCCAATTGGTACTTCTACTTTAATTAGATAGATAGATATACTTGTTACCAAACAGCTATTAAAAATAGATGGTAAACCTGTTACCAAACACTCCAATTGGTACTTCTACTTTAATTAGATAGATAGATAGATAATTAATGATTTGATGTATTGTTAAAGATAAATATAATTAATGGCGTGATGTATTGTTAAGGTAATATAATTAATGAAATTATTAAAAGAATATTCTATTTTTTTATACGGTTATCCATGTTTCCAAACAACTCTCATTTAAACTACTGTCCATGTTTCCAAACAACTCTCAAATGTACTTCAACTTTAATAATATAGATTGTTAATTAGAAAATGATGCATTTGTAATTAACTTTTTATATTTTTGATATTTATGAAAATATGAAAAGATCTATTAATTTGAAATAGATGGAATACTAAACTGCCAAAAGTCTTTGCGTTTTAGTTTGTCTATGTTACTTTTACAGAAACATACCAAAAATGAATTGAACTAATTAATAATATTATTATTGAAAGTAACCGAATATTTTGGTTTCAGTCCCGTCCAATTCTCGTGAACCAAAATATAAATCTCAACCCGTATAAACAAAACCATAACAAACCAAACCACCCAGTGTTATTTATCAAAAAAATGTTTTAAATGATTTATGAATTGGACACTTTTATATATAATAGTTAAACATGAATTTGTGAGAATTTAATCGAGAAAAACCTTCAGTGGTGTGACCTTAGGTAGGTATTTTCCGATAAGGAGAATTGGCCACAACTATTAATCGTCGCGTGAGCTTGCACCTGTTGGTCATATTACATCGATAAATGTTTATGTAAATATTAAGGATTGTTAAAAAAATATGAAGGATTTTTTTTTTTTGCCTCGGTAAGGTTAGGTTTAAGAATCACATTGATGAATTCAAAAAAAAAAATACAAGAAACGAAAGGAATGTTGCCAAGCATCGTCGTGTATTGAGCTTTCAAATTGGATATGAAATAATATGATACTTATCTAAATGATAGAAAAAATACCGAAATACAGAATATTTAAATTCAACGGGGCATATAAACTTCATTGAACCCATACGCCACGTCTTTTTGTACGTAACCCATATCCCGAGGATGATGGTATTAAAAGTTTACTTTGACTAACAACCCACATAGACACCTACATAAATATTCTGATGTTCTTAAATAGAGCACGTATTTGATTCATTTTAATATACCATTTTGATTAATTTCAAAATTATATTTATGTTTTAGAGCTTTTTATCGTAAAACAATTATCAACACATCTATACAAAACTCATAATTTCAGTAAATAATATAAAATATTCACTCATGGTGTTTCAGAACAAGTGAATATAACAAAATAAGATAAAAGAATATAACAAAATAAGATAAAACACATGACTTTTTTTACTGATAAAACACATGACTTATGAAAGATAAGGATATAGGTAATGAGAAGAAATCTTCACTAGATTTGTGTAAATTGAAATCTTCATTAACAAAAGAAAAACAAGATTTTTTGATATCTTTGAACACCAACTGAAATAGCTTTGATTAAAAGTGTCTAAAACTTATTTACATAAGGATTCAAATTGTGGCGACCCCGACAGCGTTGATTCTTCGAACTTGGCAAATATTTGATGGTATCAATGTGGTTACCATCATGAAGGATTAACCTCGGGTGAGAAAAAGTGGGCACAATAACTTGTTACACAGTTTGTACTTATTAATTTAAGCAAAATCGACTATCGGATCGTTTATTTCATTTGCAAGTTTATTTCATTTGCAAATATTTAACAAATATCAAATACTAAAATAAAAAACAACTGCTTGGTATTTTGGCTTGTTATTT